CACTGCCAGGGACACAGGGACTCCTGTTCACACTACAGCAGCGTCCAGACCCTGGGGGAAATGTCCTGTTGGAGACTATTGCTGCTGCTCCTGTCATTGTGCAGGAAGACGGTGGCACAGCCAGCAGAACCGGTTCTGGGTGGAAGAACTCGGGGATAGCTCTGCCAGATTCACGCGGCCATTGATACCAGAAATCAGTTCATTCCAAACCTCGTTTTAATTAATAGTTTTCACACCTTCCCAGGTCAAACTTTTTCCTTAGATAAACTACACGATTAGAATTTCACATCCTTTCTTCTGCTCATGCTAAACGAGAAGTGAAAGTAAAATGTAGGTCAGCAAGAAAGGGAACACGTAGGAAGGTGCTCTGGAAAAATCAATTAGCTCTTGATGATGCATATGTGGTAAGAAAACCAAATACTGACTGTTGTTTGTTTTTTAAATAAATGCACCAAAACTTAAATATCCAAATAAAAACTATCCTTTCGCACAGTCATCTTGGGAAGATATTTAGTTTCTCAAATGACGCTGCTGTGGCTCAAATTTTATGTCGCGTCTCTTCTGACACTGCCTTCTAATGTCCAACTGGTGGATGTGTATTTATATTTGGACCCAAGTGATTTCTGATGATTTTTAAAACATCTTCAAAGATCAAGATGGGACGCCATTATGGGCATTCAAAAGTATGTCACAGCCCCTCTCTTTCACAGTGCCAACTCAAGTCACACTCTGGCCTGCTGCCAAAGGCCTGGCCAAAGGAACCAGGGAATGCTGGTGGGGATCCTGGTCCCGTTTCTCTTGGCTCTACTGTCAACGTCCATGTGTCACCACATTCCCCAACACAGAAAACCAATGAAGATGTAAACTGCATATTCGGCTGTCTGAGGGGGTAGGATTGAGGCCTGGAAACTCAAATATCCAGCAGGGCCAAGTAGAGAAAGTTCCAGAATGGTGAAGTCTAGAGAAAGCATTAAAGAGACTAGCCAGTACCTCACAAGAACCATTCGTGGCCTTGCAAACACTTGGGCTTATGGTTGTCGTATTCTTTAATCACCCAAAAGAATCTAGAAACCTAGATTAAAGTAACCTCCTGATTATTAAATGTGGGCAAAAAAATTAAATTTTTGAAATAAAATACGTAAATGTATGCTACATATACATATATGTTCTGTGGACCATATGAAGGCTGCAGGCCACAATTTGTGTCTTCTGGTCACATAAACCAAACCATCACATGACACTGAATGGGGCCCCAGCCCTGAAGCCTATAAGAGATTTCTGTGTGGATGCTGCCAACAGGAACTCAAAAGTAAATTCAACTGCTCCTGAGAAGTCCATGATATG